TGTTTCTTTTGTATGCTCTAAGTCTTTGAAAACTGACAGCCAGAGATTTGTTTGGAGAAGCTAAAGTTAATGTGAGGACTGGGTGTATTCTACTTCTGGCAGCACCAAGACAGTGCACTTTAGAAACATGAGTAAAGAGAGCAGGAGTCTGGAAGCTTTGAGGGCTAAGCTTGTTACAACTACAGATATAACCCCAGGCAGGACTTTTTGTCTTATTTTCTACCCTTACAAAGAGGAGATACAGGGAACAACTCACAAGGTAACTATGGATGTAGATTAATGTCTGTGAATCTGGAAATAGTCAAGACTGAATAAACCATTAAACATTATATGATGCAGCAGAAGTGTTGAAGATCAAATACTTCAAGAGTGCAAATGCACCTACTGAAAGAGTCTTGTTCTTTATGCCTAGGTGAAGTTGGGATTTGGGGTGAAAACCCAAATGCAAGATGCAAGTAAAGTCTAGTCTATAATGCAGATGGACAAAGAGGGCTTGATTTGAATTACACAAACAATAGTTTTGCTGACACTTCCTATATCTTACTTTGGAAAATAAGCCTGCAGCGTGCAGTCTGGAAGGCCTACTGTATCCTGGGTTGCAACAAAAGAGGGATGGCCAGCAATGAGAGGGAGGTCCTCCATAGGAGGCTGTCCTCCTATGCTCTACCCTTGTGATGCCCCATCTGAAGTACTGCATCCAGGTTCAGGGCCCCCAGCATAAAAAGAAGTCATGGAACTGTTGGTGTGGGTCCAGAGAAGGGCCATGAAGATGATCAGAGGACTGGAATGCTTCTCCTATGAAGACAGGCTGAGGGAGCTGGGTTTGTTCAGCCTGGAAAAGAGAAGGCTTTGAAAAGACCTTGTTATGGCCTTCCAATACTTACGATCAAGAGGGAAACTGAATTTTACACAGTGGGATAGTGAGTAGGGGGATGGTTTTGAACTAAGAGGGAAGACTTAGGTTAGATACTAGGGGAAAATTATTTACTCACAGGATGGTGAGGCACTGGAAGAAGTTACCCAGAGAAGCTCTGGATTTCCCATCCTTGGGGACTTCAAGGCCAGGATGGATGTGGCTATGGGCAACTTGATCTAGTGCGTGATTCAGTGGGTGGTAATTCTGCATACAGTGGGGTGGTTGGAACTAGCTGATCACTGATGTCCCTTCCAACCCAAGCCATTCTATGAAACCAAAATCCCAGTCTTCACCTACTGCTTTAGTGGGCGCCTGACTGCATGCTACATATGGGTGCTTTTTCTACCTTTCCATTTACTCTTATAAATAGCTTTTGGAAATTGTTCCTCAGAAGAGTTCGTCTTACTTTGTGAATTATCTTCCCACTTTCTATCCCTCTACTAAAGATTTCTTGTTACTACCACTTGCTTATTTTTGCTGCAAATTACTCTGCCAAACTGTAAGACTGAGAACTGTGAAGCACTGTCTGAACTGAGGAAATCATTTGGATATAATTATGTCTGATGATTTTCAGAACCTTCATTTCTCCCATTTCCATTGTTGATTTCATTATGTGAATCAGTCTCATTTTGTTATCCAGTATTTTAACATTTTATGTAACTACTCTTGAAATGCAAGTATTTTTTCCTACTGTACCTAAGTCTTTGGCAGGATTAATAAATATATTGATATTGTATTAAATATCTTTCCCAGTGAGTTTAATTTTTGGTGTGCTCCAGCTGAAGTTGTTAGACATAGTGCCTAGCTTACAAATCACTGAAAAAAGCATGTTTAGTTTTTCCCAGCTGTTCTATGTTGAGGTTGCTCAACATAGTCTGGTTGTCTTCTGTGAACAGATAAGACAAGAGATTAATGGAGTGACAGATGAAAATTTTGAATGACTTGAGTTTGTGCTTGGTGGCAGGAGTAGGGGTTTGTGTTTCTGTTGGTTTTGTATGGAGTTTGGAATCACACTGTTTCAAATGAATTCAAGCACATAACTCATGCTCATACAGTTCTTTGCTTGTGTGTTGAAGTGGATTTCTGTTCAGGAGAGTTATAGCAGGCCTCTGAATTTCAGCCCTCTGAATTTGTCTCCTGCTTTGGTGGGAAGTAATACAGTAAACCATATGTTTACAGAGATCTTCTCCACCACTTGCCTATATTATTTCATACATTAAAAGCCCAAGCAATTAACACTAGTTGTTCGACATTATCTGACCATTATAGTGAAATGACCTCAGTTTTTACAGGTGTTTGTGTAGCTGATTTTCCCTGTTTTCAGTAAGAATTATCCACTTAAATGCCTTTAAGCCCTTTTTCAGGTGTATGCAGTTCAACACACACTCTTGTGTGTGCATGCTCTGGTCCTCTCTCATGTTATCCATGTGAATAGTCCATGAACATTAAATCCCTGTAGACTAAAATGTTTACTGAAAATTTGTTTGAATGGCATCATATGTATAGGTCAGTGAAACATGATGTGAACAGGCCCTTGAGAGAATACAGGTTATCAGAAACATTTGGAGACAGAAAATATTGCAGTATGCAGTGTGCATGATCTGAGGAAAAACTAGAGTGAGATGAAACATCATGATGTAGTGTTCTGTGAAATTAGGTAAGTTTTAATTTTGTTTCTTAAATGGCCCAACAGACGTTGATGCTCCTCATCAGTGAAAGTTTTCCAGTAAGAGTTTGTAAGGCAAGACTTCCTGCTCCAACCTTCTACATTTATAATGATAGCTCTTGTTGGAATTACTTCATTGCAGTCATGGCAAATTTCATCTCAGAACCCATCCAGGCAATAGTCTTCTCTTAGAGTTTCTGGTCTCCCCAGGAGGCTGTGTGATGCTGAGAGCTGGAAGCCTTTCCTTCTCATTGCCTCAGCTTGAATGTGAGGCAGGAGTTTGTTCTGATGTGAAGTCTTCTCTGGACTATACCAACCTTAGCATCTAGAGATTTGGCATCATAGAATAGGAACAGCTATACACAAAAGGCTGCAGAGGGAGGTGGTGGTGCCTCTATCCCTAGAGGCTTTCAAGAAATGTGGATGTGCCACTTACAGATATGATATAGCCAGCACCACTGATGGGTGCTTCAGTGATTGGATTAGATGATCTTAGTGGTCTTTTCCAACCTTAATGATTCTATCTATCTGTACATACAGGAAATATGACAAGTCTGTGATCCTGGAGGTTCTCTCTGTGCTGATAGTTTTAAAAAGTGTTTAATTAAACAAACAAACAAAATGCAGAGCTTTAGCTTTGAGTGTCAAATCATGTCCATTGATTATAATTCATGTGTCTTTGCCTTTGCTGGGAGTCAGCAACACTCAGTGACTGAATTTGGGAGCAGAGATCTTTTTTTTTTTATAAATTATTATGATTAGACTCTCTGAAGAATTTTTTCTCATGTCTTGGAACAAAGTAAGCCAGCCAGCCACAACTGTAGAAAAGAGTAGTATCTGTGCCCTTCCCTCTCAGTGTGGAGGCAGGAACAGAAGCACCTGAAAAACAAACCAGCTACAAAGATGCTCCTCATTACTCCTTTCCTGTAACACTGGAACTAGGAAGAATTGAGTGTTTCTGTGCTCAAATCTTCATGAAGTGTTTTAGCATTTGGCCTTAAGAGGCTCTGCAGAAAACAGAACAATTTCATGAAGAGTACACTAAGTATCTCATGCAGGGATCTTAAAAAAGTAAGATGTTGCTTACCTGTAGGGAAATGATGAGAGAAGCAACTACCAAGCCTTGGTTCTTGAAAAAAGAGCTATATCCCTAGCTGAGAGATCATGGTATGGTAATTGTCTACTCCAGATTTTCCAGAAACTGGAGCAAGTCCAGCAAAGGGCCAAAAAGATGGATAAGGAATTGGAGCATCTGCTGTACAAGGAGAGGTCTATAGAGCTGCTCAGCCTGAAGGAGAGAATATTCAGGGAGGGGACCTATATGAATAGTGTATAAATTGCACATAGAAAGAAGGCTTAATCGGGCTCTTTTCTGTGGTGCCCAGAAAAAGAATAAGAAGAAATGGGTGTGCATACAAAAAATACCTCATCTGAACACAACAAAAAAGCTTGCTTACTGTGAGGGCTGTCAGACACCAAACAGATGGCTAAAATTGGTTCTGGAGTCTGTGGGAGTATTCAAAGCATGACTGGACATGGTCCCTGGGGTCTCCAAAGCTGACTTAGATTATCCATTTTATCCTCAAAAATTCTAAGATTTTGTGATCAGCCAAAACTACACAATAAACATACACCTTTTATGTAAAAATAAAGCCTCATTTCTGACACTTTCATTTAGCCCAAGTGATAAAATGTTCATTACATTACAGAGAAAATCAAAAGGAGCGGCTGTAGCAACAGGGCTAGAGTACTTCAGGCTGAAATTCCTTCACGTAACATTTCACAATGTTGTGTGAAGTATAACAGGTTTAAGAAAAACACTGAGACAAAAATATGATTTTTTTTTTTTCAGAACATTTGAGAAGATATCGTAGTTACATTATCACCTAGGTCTTCCTCATGCCAAGCGACTGTTACAGTACTGCAAATATTAGGTACCACTCATCACCAATGAATGTTATGATTTTAGGAGAGGGACAAATATGGAGAGAAGTTTAGACAGGAACTTCTGGTTTAGAGCCTTGTGAGGGATCTGTAAGATGTTAGAATATGATTCACAAAAGAAACTGAATGTAGCTGAATGAAAAATGTATGTGCATGAATATTCTCGCCCATGCAAATGTTAGAACAAGAACAAAAAAAAAAAGAGGAAATAAGATCTGCTCTAAAACTACTCTTTTACACAGTGTTGTGATGACTGGGAGTGGTATGAAGTAGAATCTATTCTCAAGTTGAATTTATGCCTTGTAAAGGAAAGAATTAAGATTCATTGGATTAAAGAAAGAATAACAAGCATGATTTTGTAATCTATTGATGAGACACTCGTGGGATACTTGCATTAGAGAATGCTTTTCCTATTTAAAGGGTTGGAATTTCCCATAAGTCTTTTGGAAATAAAAACCCAGCAACATCCAGGGCTTTGGGAAGAACATTTTATTGCTAAGCGTATCTTTAAACAAAATGCAAATAAGAAAAGAAAAAGAATCAAAAAGGAAGAAAAAGAACGGTGAAAAAAGCAATAACATCACAATAACTCAAAAAAAAATTCTTAAGATTGTTCATAAAGCAACAGGGATATGGTAGAAGCCCACATACAGGAATGCACATGTTCCCCAAAAATGTCCAATAGAAACTTACACAAAAAAAGGAAAGTGTAATTGTTTTTTTTTCCTCTTAACTTAAAAAAGGAAAGCAAAAAGGAAAGGAAGAAAGGAAATCATTTCACAAGACTCCAAGACTCCAAGAACAGCAATCTTTTACAGACATCAAGATATAATCAACTCTATATAGTTTTGGCCAGTTAAATCATCTAAAATCGTGCTTTCATACCTTTTTAAAACCTGTCTTTTTTTTCTTTTTAGTATAAAAAATAAAAAAGGAAAAAAAGGCTCAACCTCTCACGCACACGCACCACGCACACATACACACTGAAAATATTTGTTAACATGAAAGCGGCTTCTCTAAGTGTTTGAGAAGGCTGTTTCTTTGAATTTAAGTTCCCATGTGCGTGTGTGTATTTGATGACACTTCTTCAAAGTCAAATATTCATGCGACTTATGAACACCAGCAAGAGTAGATTTCTAAACCTAAACAGCTGATTAGTTTTCATCTGTATACAGAAAAAGTGTACATTTCTGATATTTCAGAGTTCTCAATCCATCTTGTTTTTGTTGGTTTTCTCTCTTTCTCCCTCATTTGCTCTTTTTTTTTTTTTTTTTTTTTCTTTTTGTATGTGACAGGCATGGCCATCAAACCACCTGGCTATTTTTTCTATACAGTAAGTAATCCTTTTCACAGTAACTGGGAAAATGTAGGAACCAAACAACCAAATTAAATCAGTTAAAAACAAAAGACATTCCCAATTTAACCATAAAACAGTATATACACCTTCAGGGTATTCATATAGAAATTATACTAGCAAAAAAAATAGTAGTAAAATATGTAAACAAACTTTCAGGTATTTTTTCTTGACACAGGTAACTGACAAAGCTAAAACACACGCTTTCTTCACATCTTACGGTTTGCTTTTGTTTTCTGTTTCTTTTTACTCTGTTCTTCAAGAACATTCTTATTCCACATTAAGACCATAACAGAACTTCTGTTCCAGTCGTCCCATCAAACATACCATGATAAATATATCTGTGTGTATATATATATAATATTATTAAATTCATTTTTCTTTATTATTTTGTGTGTCACAGCAGCTTTATTTTCTTTTATATAAAAGAGAAGGAAAAGAGAGAATAGGGCAAATGGAAAGACATGATCTGAAATGTCAAGCTACAAAATTAAAGTATTACATATGAAAAAACAGTTTCGTGTCAAAAAAAAAGAAACTATACATTTTTGCATTCTTTTACAAGTGGTTAACTTTTCATACATTTTATGGGTCTTATCACAAGTTGAACTCCAGTGGTGTCTTTCTGATCTCTTTATTAAACTGATTTTTTATTTTTTTTGCATGCATTGCAGTCAGTCACAGAACTAGAACCTGGAGGAAGGCTCCTTTATTTTTGCAAGGTATATTTAGCTCAGAATGACTAACTGTTTCTTAAGCATCCTTTTTTTTGAATCTTCAAATCCTTTTAACAATAGTTTGGCTGTGCTATCACATACTAAGTGATATTCTCAAATAATTCCAATGATTCTGATCAGAACAGACCCAAACCCATCTATTCTTCAGTTCATTTGCAAATCCTGGTGGCAGATCCAAGGGGACCAGCTCTCCATAATTTTCTTCATCAGCACCCATCACATACTTTCACTGCATTGTTAGCAAATAACTTACTGCAAGACGACGGTTTCTAGAGACAACACAACCAGATATGCAGAGTAAACACCATGAGTAGCTTTTGAGTTCATATATGGCAATAGTCTCTCTTTATTTATTATGGATTTTTTTTCCGAGATTTCTTCTCAACACATATCATGCTCCCCACCCCCACAACATTCCTCTCAACCCTTTCCTCCCACACCCAAAAGTAAACAAAATCAAAAATAAAACAACCCAAGAAACCAAACCAAATCAAAATCCAACAATCTCCAAAATCATTTATTCCCCTCCTCCAATCTCAAAAAAATTAGGTGTGCTGGACACAGCCAGATCAGTTTGTTAGATATTTTTTTTGTTGTTTAATAATGTTTGCATTTTTTTCTTTTTCTTTCTTTCTTTCTTTTTTTTTTTTTAAATAACTAACCTGCAAAATTATTGATACAGTCAGGAATCATGAACATTGTTAAAGACTCACTTGGAGATATGAAACAAGTAAGCCATGAAGTCTTCTACTTTTGCAGAAAGTTCAGCGGAGGAGGAGATTTGGAGACGTCCAAGTTCACTAACAGGGCAGAGCTGTATGCGCCATCTCCAGAACGCTAAGTGTGCTTTATAATACATTAGGGCAGAGTTTGCTGACTCCAAGTGATGACTGAGACATTAACAGTCACTGCTGATATTTTTTTCCCAATACTTTTTCCCACAAACGATATCTCCTAATCTCGTTCACTGCAATGATTCTGATAGTTAAATCTCATTAAGTATTTATATATTTATATATAAATAAGTATTCTTTTTTACACATAATACTCTTTGTCCTTGTTTTTCTGTTTCTTGTGGCCACTCTTTGAGCTCTGCTGCTTCTCCTTCATGAGCGTGCCGTTGCTCTGGGCTGAGTTGCTGATGTAGTTTCGCGTCTCGTCCACCTGATAGGACCCCTCGTCCCTGTTCCTGTACTTGTACATGGCGTACAGGAGGATGAGGATGCAGAGGGCGGCAGCAGCCACAATGCCGACGACCATCCCCGTTGTGCTGCTCGACTCGCGGACCACCTCTGAGGCCCCCGGAACCCGTCTGATTCCTGGCTCCGTGGGGTTTGCTGTGGGCACATTACGGAACATGGGGGAAGTGATTAGCGGGCTCTTCAGCTTTGTGCTGTCTAGCTCATAGGCAGTGGGCAACGGAAGCAAGACTATGTCAGGCTGGGGTTTGAGCTCACGGTTATTCATTTTGCCGGCTGGCAATTTGGGTACCATCCCAGTCGAGGACGAAGCTGTGGAGCGGATCAGCTCAGGGGACAAAGACGTGGTAGTAGTCCTACCAGTTTCGGAGACTTTGTTAGGTCTAAAGTCCTTGGATTCCCACTTGGGTGCGTGTGCTTTGTAGCCACCTTCGAAGATTGAAGTGGAAAGACTCTTATCTGTTACCAAGGAGAAGGTGGTGTAAAAATCTTCATCATCAGTAGGGGGTAGGTTAGAGTCAAAGGTTTCCCCTGAGCCATACCCAGATATCACCAAGCCATCATCATCACAACCATCGCTGCCTTGGTCCGACAAGCAAGGTAACCCCGCCTCAGAGGTCATGGACAGGGAATCTTTGGTGGTCTCAATAATGGTGAGGAGGGGGCGAAAGGTAGGGGGAAGTGTAATGAAAGGTGCACGAGTAGCAATAGGAGGGATATCTAAAGGGTCTTCTACAAGTAGAGGAATAACTAATTCACCTCCTGGGATGGAAAAGAGAAGAAAAAAAGAAGATTAGTACACATTACTGATACAAGACACCATTTTCAAGTCTCGTAAGGGCGGTACAAGGATATGGGCATTATGAATAAGTGTCAGGGATCAGATTTCCTGCCCAGCTACACTATGAATAACTTTCTTGGGGGTTTCTTTGATTCTTGTATCCCACTCTGCTTCTGGCATTGATCAATCGTGTTCCATTTTCTTTTACCCTAGCCTATGCTAGGTTTGTGGAGTGAAACACTACAAATTTTTGGGGACTCAAATTTTTGCTTTTGAAGATACTCTCAAGTGACTCTCTGGGCATCAGTTTTTGGCACTGGTATTTCTTGAGCAACTAGTTACAAGACTGTTAAAATGAACTATTTCAGACCACCAGTACAGCTATGTCCTCAGGGGGATTTTACTGTTCATCTTAACGGTTTTTCCTCCTCTGGTTCTTTTCATTTAAGAAAGCACTGGTATTTCTTCTCTGATACTCAAGTGTGTTTTCCCTCTGTAGTATTTTCTAAGGCCTTTCCCTAAGGCCTTTCCCATTCATCCGTTTCTTCTTGATTGTTGCCTGGTTTTTAAATTGTGAGAACATTCATGAAAGATAGATATGGCATAAGAACCAGGTACTTACTAGTGTCCATGAAGGTACAGAGCTCTACTCAAAGGTTGTTCATTTCTTTTTAATCTTACCTTTTTGTTCTACATTAGACATGTCCCTTGCCTTTTGTCTTCTTGGGCTACTAATGTCATATCATCTTGAGCTTTTGTTCTTCTTTATATCCTTTTAGTATAATTTGATTAAAAGTTAAGAAAATAATTAATTGTGATTGATGATGCAACTAAATAAGCACTCGGATGACCCAAATTAATTGTGCTTGAATCCGCACAACAGAAATTTCTTCACACCTGCTGATATTCTTTATACATAGATACCAGTGATATATTTTCCCAGCATGGTAGCTAGGTGCCTACAAAGGACTAAACATGAGGTAAACTTATAGCCTACTCTGGAAGTGTAACTTAGCTATAGCTGCAACTTCTGTACCTTACTGAAGTATAACGTGAAACGAGAAAACCAGAGTGTCATTTCTAAGACTGGCTTCTGTACAGCAAAATTGTTACTCATAGCTGAGTAGTTTTGATTTGTCTGTATTTTGTAAAATGAGTGTATTTTCTCTTTTGACCTTAGAAATAATTAACACTCCAGCATTTTACTCTGGTATGGAGGTATAATTCATTTCTTTAATTCACTGAGTTGAGACTGCATAGTCTTCTGTTAACATGCAGGTTGCTGACACATTTTTAGGTCATTGCTTTTGAAAGTTTGTGTATGAATCTTCCCTTGGCCATTTCTCTTTGGTTAGTCACTTAAGGTAGATGATTTAAATATAAACTGAAGATTTTATTTGATACAATGAGTAGTCATCCAGATCTGTTGGAAATAGCACAAGTCATATTTAAATACTTGTAGGAAAGCATTAATTAATTTGTATTCACTGGTTCTTAAAGAAAGAGATGCAAAAAGAATTTTAGGTTCTAAATAAATAATTCCAGCTTTTACTTAAAGTTTAATAAATTGAAACAGTCAGAATTAACTCACGCATACCGGGGTAGAAATGAGGCTAAAATAAAGAATATGGCACTTTACATATCTTCTTAACACACCTGCATGCAAAGTGATTTTCAAAACGAGATAAAAAGGGCCAACCTGAATGTGCCGTTTAGTTTTTTGAACTTCCTCAGCATAGTCATACCACTTCTCTTACAGAAAGACAAAGAAGAAATACGTATAGCAAAAAATATGGAAAAAGCAAGAAATTTAATCTGCCAAGTGGGTACGCAACATTTTGTGTTTGCGCATCTGAGTTGTTTTTTGTTCAGTGCAAACCGGAGCATGTAATATGATTTAGATATGTCCAGAAGCTCTATTCACGGTCAGAGTGGGGCACATATAACATATGCAAACAGGTGGTCTCAAGCTAATCTTGAAGTATACCTCAGAGGAAAATATCATCTGTGAGTCTGCAATTAAAAATGAATAAAAATATTATAATTTAAGTGCTTATTAAACCAACTTGCACAGATGTGTTATTTAAGTTCCTGAAAGGCAGGTGTAAATAGTGTCCCTTTAAGTGATTTTTTTTTTTTTTTTTTAAGATCGCTGTTTTGCTGTTAAACAACAGTATTTGTCTGTGAATTTCATGCACCATCTGTGACATCCAATTGGAAAAAAAATCAGTTTTGCAGCTTTTAACTGTTCATCTAAAGCTTTGAAGTACCTTTGTTATTAGATTATATTAGCACATGACTTTAGTATGCAGCTCATCTGCCACACACTGGGGCAATATTTTCGGCAGTTTTCTTCTAAAAATGAATTATTCTTGTCCTGTTTACAATTAATTTCATCAGAGGAATCAGAAACATCTCATATTTAGTATTAAAATCTTTCTTTTTCTCCCAGTAAGCCTTGAGCCTTGCCTTAAAAGCAGGTAATAGTTCTACAGTTGTGGGTTTTTTGTTTGTTTGCTTTGGTTTTTTAAATATTTATTTATTTATTTATTTTCTGTTAAGGACTTGAGTCAATGATAAAGGCTGCTGCCATCATAGTCATCCTGAAATGTCAAGGAAAGTTGATTGGGTTGCTAAGACAAGTGATGTGTCACATAACTGAAGGAGACCAGATCAAAACTTTTTTTCATTCAGCAAGTCTGGTGGAATAACAGGACTGAATCAAGAATGAGTTTTACAGACTTTTAATTTCACATTGGATGGAAGAAGAGAAATATCTTTCATACCAGGAAGACTGGATGAACTTTAACTTACAACTATTTAATTTCGTCTCTAGCTTCATTCCTGTGCCCAACAAACCATACAATTTTTGCTTATACATTAAGGAAATAGGCTATTAAAAGTCCTTAATTAGTAATCATTCTCTGTTAAGGAGTTCATTTGGTATATCTACTTAAGATAGCATATTTCAGGAGAATAACTAGTAGATGGCTTTATGTGGTGTGGTGATGGTTTGAATGTTTGTTTTTTCTTTGTTTGCAATGGGAAAAACTGTGAGACACGTTGAAGAAGGTAACTTGGAAAAAGCACTCTGTAAATGCCAAATGTGGGCACTGTTTTATTGGTATGCTAGGCACCTATGCAAATCTTATAGTTAGATAGAACTTATAGGTCTAATAGTACACATAGACAATGAACACTTCTTGGGGTATCCAGTTTATAGTTTATAGAGCAGCATCCTGTAAGATGACATGATGAAAATGCCTCTCAGTCTAAAAAAATGAAGAAAAAAGTGCTATCTAAGGATGACAGCACGTGTGAATTGTGAAAAGCTCCATGGAAACTGTGAGAAACATGATCACAAACATCTATGGGGGGAACAAGTGCAAATTTTCTTACTGTACTTCGAAACAACTGTGTTACTGATACTACATTTCTCTTTGTAAGAAACACAAGAGGGAGTGCGATGATAGGCAGATGATGAGAGTGCATGCAGGGGGGGCCATGGAGGCTCACAGAGTGACAGATGAGACAACAGGAAACTGCCTAGAGCCAGTGAACCCTTTGATGGAGAATTGGTGCCTCTTGCCCAGGGCTCCAGGTTGCTTTAAAGATAAGCTCTGAAAGCTTTAAAAGACAAAGTGCAACATCATTGCCAAGTCTCTTCATAAGGGATTGTCAGACTCTGAAAGGTTGGCTGTGAAAGACAAGTAGCTTTGAGACAAGTACTTTTTTAATTGTATGAGTTTCAAAAGGGTCAAGTGTCACGTCCTTCATTTTAGTCACAACAACCCCAAGACAATTCTACAGGCCTAGGGAGGAGTGGCTGGAAAGCTGCCTGATGAAAAGGGACCTTGGTGTACTGATGGACAATCGGCTGAATACGAGCCAGCATTGTGCTCAGGTGGCCAAGAAGGCCTATGGCATCCTGGCTTGTATCAGGCATGGTGTGGTGAGCAGGACTAGGGAAGTAATCCTGCCTCTGTATTTGGCATTGGTGAGACTTCACCTCAAGTACTGTGTCCAGTTTTGGGCACCTCAGTACAGAAAGGACATGAAGGTGCTGGATCACGTGCAAAGAAGGGAAACAAGGCTTGTGAAGGGCTTGGAGAATGTGCCCTATGAGGAGAGGCTGAAAGAACTGGGGCTGTTCAGTTTGGGGAAAGGAGGCTGAGGGAGACCTCACTACTCTCTTTCTATATCTATAAGGTGCTTATAGTGAGAGCGGGGCTGGTCTCTTCTCACTGGTGACAGGTGACAGGATGAGGGGAAATGACCTCAAGTTGTGCCAAGCTAAGTTTAGGTTGGATATCTGGAAACACTTCTTTACAGAAAGGTTGTTAAGCACTGGAATAGGCTCCCCAGGGAGGTGGTTGAGTCACCATCCATGGATGGGTTTAAAAATCGTTTGGATGTGGTGCTCAGGGATGTGATTTAGCAGAGGGTTGTTGGAGTTAGGATAGTATGGCTAGGTTGTGGTTGGACTTGTGGATGATCTTTAAGGTCTTTTCCAACCTGAGCGATTCTATGATTCTGTGATTCTCTGATTCTATGCTTTAAAGATTTGAGTCTCTGGATAAAAGTAAGAAGGAGGCTCTGAAACACCTTGCCTGAAGACTGGAAGGTAAGGTTGAGGCAGGTTTAATGTTTCATATTGCTATGTGAATTTGGGCCTTGG